TATATATTCACACACACAAACACAAACACACATATATCTAATAGATATATAAAAATAATAGCAATAATAATAATAATAATAATAATAATAATAATAATAATAAGTAATATTAGAAGCTCTCTAGCAAGTCTAAAACCTATTCTCAACTAGTAGGTATCCCCTATATGATCTTTTTCTTCCCGTGTAACTTATCTTTAGCTAAGTTCGCATTGATTCCAAGAATTTGTAGGTCTTTCAAGACGACTTCCTTACATGTGATTTAAGGTCTACCCCGCACTCTTTTAATACCTTCACTCAGCATAGTTTCACACCTATGGACCGATGCATCTGAAGGTCGAAGCATGACATGACCAATCCATCTCAAACGACTTCTCTCATTTTATCCTCAATGCATGCTACTTTCACCTTCTGACGAATGTGGTCATTTCTAATCTTCTCTAGTCTTATACGACCTCACATCCATCTTAGCATCCGCATCTCTGCAACACTCATCTTGTGGACATGTTGGACTTTGGCAGCCGAACTTTCACTACCATATAACATTACTGGTCTTGTAGCTGCTATATAAAACTTACTGTTTGGTTTGGTAGGGATCCTTCTATCACATAATACCCCAGTAGCATTTCTCTATTTCAACCATTCGATTTTTATCATATGAGTAATGTCTTAATCTATCATTTCATTCTCTTAAAATAACGAGTCTAGATATTTAAATTGTTTGCATTTTGGCTCCGCAATCCCAACTAGTCTCACCTCAACTTCGCCCTTCTCATGCTGATTAAACTTGCAGTGCATGTATTCAGTCTTACTCTCCGATATGTAAAATATATATGTTTCTCGGTCTATTTTGACATATGAGTTTATGCTTGTAGTTCCACATTAGAGATCTCCAATTCACAATTAACAATTTTCTCTATCTACAAATGATTTAGGAAAACAAATCTTGTTAGGTTTAAGAACATGTGGGTTCTGTATGAAGGTCTCAGGGTGATGGTGAGGGCACAATGAGATAGCAGTTCATGGGAAGGTGACCCAAGTTTCAGAGGTCAAGAAGTTAAGACTATTGAAATATGATTTAAAGATATGGGAGTGAGATGTGTGTTTGGTAGAATGAAGACAAGTAAATCGGCTTTCTTCTAGGAACTAACTGCATTTTGCAGAAGAAAGATTAGCGTGATATCTTGACGAAAAAGAGGTGGGAACCCGTTAGATTAGTTGAGATGTGCGTGAGTTGACTTGAAAATCATAGCTGCAAATAGAAGGGGAGGGGAGGGGAGGGGGGATTGGAATTCAAAGACAATTTCGAAAGCGGGATTGGTAGCAGAAAAGAGGAAGCAAAAGTCTCAAATTAGTTGCCTATGGAAGGGGACGAGGAACTAAGTTTTCCATTAATGTCCAATGCTCGTAGAACTTATAGTCTAAGCTGCTCCGACACGGCAATTTAGGTTCCGCACCTGTGTCGACACCACACTAGTGTGGGTGTGGTATGGTATCCATACCGGATCTAGTCAAACGATTTTGGGCACTTTAATCACGACGGACGGAAAAATTCGAGACGAGATGCAATTTGATTCCCGAAATCAGAACTAAAACTAGGGTAAATTTGAAGAAAATAACATACCTTATCTAGGAAATCAATCCGTTACTTATTTACAACTTGAGAATAAAAAAGAAATCCACTCTTTACAAGCTATACGTAACTACTCCACAAAATTTCTCATAATTAGTGATATTTGTATATTTTTAAGTATTCTTAGCCAGATCCCCGCACACGTATCTGTACTAGGATCCGTATCCCCAAATCTTAGAATTTACATCTCGAAGGATCCGACCTCTAGATCCGCACCCGTGTCGGACACCCGCACTAGTATTCGAGCAACTTAGCTTATAGTTTCATAGAGAGGCATCAAATGAAACTTATAATTGAAAGTGTTACGAGGAAGAGAAGAATGGGCAATGTTAGAATGGGTCAATTTGAAGAAAATCTAAGATACATCCTTCTAGCCATTCTTTTGAAAATATCAACCTTCCTTCAAAAGCTAATCAAACCACAGTCGTGAATGGAGCTATCATAATTTTTTTTTTTGAGTAAAATTGAAGAAATCTATTTAGAGAAGACAGAAGCAACAAGTTCCCTTCTTTTTCCTGCATGAATAAAAAAGGTTATGATATTGAAGGAGAGTTTCACAAAATATTTAAAGATATTCAGCGTTTTGAGGAAAAGATACTTACTCCAACTCAGTTGCATGTTTTAGAAAATAAGGAGAAAGTGATTATTAAGAAGAAAGAGGAGAAAGTTTGATAGATGCTAGACGCGTTATATTTTTTCGGTATGAGAAGTATGGTTCCAGAGTGATGGGATTCGGAGAACTTTTGGGAAGATAAAATGGTACAAGTGATGAAAGACAATTTGGGGTGTTAAGCCCATGAGTCGGATCAGTTCACTGTAGCTTTTTCAAAAATGTTGGCAGGTGGTGAGTAGAGAGGTCACGGAATAAATCATTTCCATTCTGAAAAGAGCCTAATTATTTGTCGTAGTCTTACTTATGAAAATGGGAGGAGCATCATATAAGGATTTTTAGGTCCATTAACTTGGCGAGAAGTCTACAAAATTAGGGTAAATGTACTTTTAGAAGGGTTGAAACTATTGATGGGTAATTTCATTTTCAACACTCAAAATGCATTTGGGGAGGATGGGAGAAAAACATTTAATATAAGGATTTTGTGATCATTGCTAATGAGACTGTGGGTTTGAGACTGAGAAGCAAAAACTAGGATCTTCTACGAGTTGGACGTTGAAAAAGCCGGGCACCTTTTCCTATCCTTTTTCTTTGAGAATGGTAACAAGTATTATAAACTTCAGCACAAAGGACATTTCACTATCTTTTTTTATCTGAAATGGGCTTTGGGGAAATTTATATTTGAGGATTGAGTTTTTATCTACCGTATGTTTGATGGAATTCTTTTTGGATCTTTGTGTAGTAGAAAGGGTCTAAACTAGACAAGGAGATCTGGTATCCCCAACTCTTTTCCTTATTGTGTTGAAAGTTACTCAAAAATCTCTTAGATGATACTATAACAAGGGAGAACATTTTGGGGGAGAGAAGGAAAATAATGAAATATATATTTTTGAAACGGTAATAGTGGAAATAATGAAATATTACATCTTTTGTTTGGAGATGATGTGTTGATCTTCTATGAACGAAAGAAGAGACAGATCCGTTTTTCGTTTAGAATATTTTTATGGTGTTTGTGGTTTTTGGGTTGGAAGTCAATATGAGAATATTCAAGATTATCTTAGTTAGGTAAGCTTAATACATCTATAAGTTAGTTATAGTATGTGGGTGCAAGGTGGCCACTACCCATAAAGTACTTAGGACTTTTGCTTGGAGAAAGAAATTCAAACAAGGTCTAGTTTGGATAATTTTACCTGAATCATTCTTTCATTGGCGGTTCAGAGCTAGTCTCTTCATCATCTAATCAGTTGTCAGGTTTCTTTACAAAAAACAATGTTAGTATAATTTTATCTACCATATTTTTAGTTTTATACAAAATGTTTGAAACCGCTAAGTCGAACCTAATAAAGTTGAGAAATTATTGGAGGCATGAGAACAAAACTTGTCTAAAGCGAAAAAGGGTACTCTTGTAAATTCGATCATGGCAAGCATACCAACATAACAACAACAACAACATACCCAGTATAATCCCACATAGTGGGGTTTGGGGAGAGTAGTATGTACGCAGACCTTACCCCTACCTTTGTGGAGGAAGAGAGGCTGTTTCCAATAGACCCTCGGCTCAGGCAAGCATAGGTACCACAATAATAACAAGAAACAAGACGGGACAACACCGAAAAATCATGTAAAAGCAGCATACACAACAAGATAGTAAGATGATAGAAATGTAAAAAAAAAAAAAAGACAGACACAGGTATTCAAATAAGCCTACTACCAACCAAATGCGAGAGTACATACTAACACTACCGGTATGAATAATCTAGACTACCTAACCTACTATCCTAATCTTCGACCTCCACACCTTCCTATCACGGGTCATGTCCTCGGTCAGCTGTAGCTGCGCCATGTCATGCCTAATCACCTCACCCCAATTCTTCTTCGGCCTACCTCTACTCTCCTAAGGCCCTCCAATGTCAACCTCTCACACCTCCTTAGTGGAGCGTCTGCATACCAACATAATGTATGTCTATCTTTCTGTTCCCATAGACAGTGGATTTGAGACATCCTTCATCATGCGTTACTTGCTAAGTTGCTCCGACATGGCAATTTAGGTGCTGCACCCGTGTCGACACGACACTAGTATGGGTGTGGGTATAGGATCCGTACCGGATTTGGTCAAACAATTTTGGGTACTTTGTCCATGATGAACAAAAAAATTCAAGACAAGATACAATTTGATTCATGAAATCAGAACCAAAACTAGGGTATATTTGAAGAAAATAGCATACCTTATCATAGAAATCAATCCTTTGCTTATCTACAACTTGACAACCAACAAGAAATCCACACTTTACAAGTTATACGTAAGTATTCCACAAAATTTCTCATAATTAGAGATATTTTTTTATATTTTTAAAGTATTTTTAGCCAGATCGCCGCACCCGTATCCGTACTAGGATCCTTATCCTCGAATCTTAGAATTTACATCTCAAAGGATCCGACCTCTAGATCTGCACCCGTGTCGGACACCCGCACTCGTGTCCGAGTAACTTAGGTTACTTGTATTTATGTCCCCTAATGTCAGTCTATCGAGCTTATTATCCATTCTCATCGAACAATGAAACGGTTAAGGAATTATTGTATGAGATATAACAATGTTTGAAAAACCTTAGATTATGTCGAAGTAAATGATCATGTTTTAGTGTGTTTTAGATTCTTGTATCTCGCTTGTTTCTCCTGCTCTTCAACCAGTAACTACGAGGTATTAGTCGCATTTCTAGCTTTTTTTCATGCTGATGACATGTTCCTACGCATCGATTTCCTATTCTCCTTGGGAAAAATGAAGCTGGAATATGTGCAAGTTGGACATTGAAAAAGCTTTTGATCACGTCAATTGGTCATACTTGCTTAATCTTTTAAAAGAGATGGGTTCGGAGAAAAGTGGATTGGGCGGATGGATTGGTGTATTTCAAGTGTAAAGTTCTCTGTGATTGTGTATGGGAGTCCAGAACCTTTTTTTTCTCCTTATACAGGGGCTTACAGGGGGACCCACTGTCTCCCTTCTTATTCATCCTAGCTATGGAGGGCCTTAATCTTATGCTTTGCAAAGCTAGGTTTAGGAATTGGATCAAAGATTTTACTGCCGGGCTAGGGGGCCTCAACAGAGTGGAGGTTTCTCATATTCGTTATGTTGATGACACACTTATATTTTGTGGGGCTGAGGAGAATCAACTCAGGTACTTGAGGGGTATCTTGCTACTGTATAAAGCTATCTATGGGCTAAAAATTAACCCAGGGAAGAGTTCATTATTTCCTGTTAATAATGTGGAGGACTTAAGAAGATTGGGCGAGAACTGGATGTCTAATAGGTAAGCTTCCCACGACATACCTGGGTATGCCATTAGGAGCTAGATACAAGGCTAAACCTGTGTGGCAAAAGATTGAAGAAAGATTTGAAAAGAAACCTACTACTTGGAAAAGACAATACCTGTCTTTTGGAGGTAGGATGATATTCAATTATTCATTAATAGTGTTTGGATGCTCTGCCGACCTATCTTATGTCTTTATTTCTTAAGACGATTAGTGTAAAGAAGAAATTGGATAAAATCAGAAGGAATTTTTGGTGGAACAGAAACGAGGAAAAAAGAGCATTTCGTTTGGTGAAATGGAAGAGAGTGGTACAAGATAAAAGAAGAGGTGGACTTGGAATTAAGAACTTGAAAGTACATAATCAAAGCTTCTGATGAAATGTCTGCTCATGCATGATGCTTGTCTTACTCAAAGGAACTTGAAGCGATGGGGGGATGGTGATGTGCATTAGGTGTTATATGTGTAACAAGGAGGAAGAGAGCAACAACCATTTTTTATACACTGTACAGCCGCAAGACAACTATGGAGCATTTTTTTAATCTGTTCAATTTGACGTTTGTAATGCCTTGTTTAGTGAAAATTTTGTTGTTAGGCTGTGGTGGTATAAGAAAGTCCCTGAAAAGAGTATGGAGCACAGTTCCAGCTTGTGTTTGTTGGGTATTATGGGGAGAAGGAATTCAAAGTGTTTTGAAGGGAAAGACAACCCGATATAGTTATTAAAGTACAGAAGTTTGTGGTTTTTGGTTTTCTAGGGAAACATTCACAATCATCATCTTGGTGCATGGTTCTTAATCATGGCGTAAGCATTCATCGTATGCTAGGATTAAACTTTCCATAAAATTTCATAGTTGCATTACCTATAATCTCCTTGTTCGTAGATAAAGTGGATTCTAAATTGTCTCTCACTCCTAGATGGTAGCTGTGTCAATGGACGTTATATTACCATGGAGTTTGCTCCCAGACTGTCAGATGTATACTTTCCTACAGCCTCACATCAATCCTACTCGCCTTCTATCGATTCTAATTGAACATAGTACAACAGCAATAACAACAACAAACCCAGTAAATTCCCACAAGTGGGGTCTGGGGAGGGTAAGATGTACGCAGCCTTACCCCTACCCTGGAAGGGTAGAGAGACTGTTTCCAATAGACCCTCGGCTAAATAAAGGAAGTGAAGGCAGTAAGTATTAATAACAACAAGATAAAAGAAGAAAACCGTAGTCAAAACAACAATTATACGCTGGGTAGTAATAACAATCTAAGAATAGAAGACAACATACTAATACTAATGCTATCGAACAATTATACGCTAGATAGTAATAACAATCTAAGAATAAAATACAACATACTAATACTAAAGCTATCGGACTGAGAGTGTAGGGGGAAACACTCGAATACCTACTAGCCTACTGTCCTAATCCTCGACCTCCACACCCTCCTATCAAGGGTCATGTCCTCAGTCAGCTCCAGCTGCGCCATGTCCCGCCTAATCACCTCTCCCACGATTTCTTTGGCCTACCTCTAACCTTCATCATACCCCCAAGGCTAACCTCTCACACCTCCTAACCGAGGCTTCTGTGCTTCTCCTCTTAACATGTCCGAACCATCTCAGCCTCGTCTCTCGCATCTTATCCTTCACGGGGGCCACACCCACCTTATCCCGAATGAATTCATTCCTAATCTTATCAAACCTTGTATGCCCACACATCCATCTCAACATCCTCATCTCCGCTACTTTCATCTTCTGGACATGCGAGTTCGTTACCAGCCAACACTCTACCCCATACAACATAGTCGGTCTAACCACTACTTTGTAGAACTTACCTTTATGTTTTAGTGGTACATTCTCATCACACAACAGACCAGAAACTAGCCTCCAATTCATCCACCTTGCTCCGATACAATGCGTAACATCCTCGTCAATCTCTCCATCACCTTGTATTATTGACCCAAGGTACTTGAAACTACCTCTCCTGGGGATAACTTGTGTATCAAGCCTCACATCCATGTCCGCTTCCTGGGTAACGTCGCTGAACTTGCACTCCAAATAATTTGTCTTAGTTCTGCTCGACTTGAAACCTTTAGACTCGAGAGTCTGTCTCCAAACCTCCAGTCTCTCGTTAACACCAGCTCTCGTCTCGTCAATCAGAACTATATCATCTGCAAATAACATACACCATGACACCTCCCCTTGAATGTGTCGCGTCAATGCGTCCATCGCCAAGGAAAATAAAAACGGGCTAAGGGCTGATCCCTGATGTAACCCCATCTCAACCAGGAAGTGACCCGAGTCTCCTCCAGCTAGGGGTGGCAATTTGAGCCCAAACCCATTTGACCCGCCCAAGATTTAATGGGTTGGGCAAAAACTATTTCACTGATGGGCTAAGATGGGCAATGCCCAAGTTGACCCACTATTAAGCAGTCAGCCCAAGTTGACCCGTGACACGGCCCAAACATGACCCGTGACTACAACATCCCATGTGATGAGCAAATCCACAATTTCTGTAGCTTTTTTATTAAAAATTGTACCACCCTTGCTTTAAGGGAAAGTTTCATAACTAAATAATATTAAATAAAATATAATATATTTGTAGCGGTAATTAATTATCCAAAACTGGATCTTTGACCAAAAATTACATCCAATTATTGCTCCAAGAATATCTTCAAGAATAGTAAAAATAGACTCCCAATAACTCCTTTCCTTTCAGGGAGTCTTTATTTTTAAGGCAAAAAAATAAAGATTTCTTTCAAAAACTCTACAAACCTCTAAAAAATTAGTATATAATGTATGTAATATTAATAATATATATATATAGTGTATAATATTAATATATAATATGTATTTTATGCGGATCATATGTATATTTATATATTATACTAAAAATATATGTAGTATATAATGTGTATTATAAGTGTATCATATGTATTTTTATATATTATACTTAAAATATATAGTAATACATAATGTGTATATAGAACTTAGACATGTAGTATCTAGAGATTTAAAATTTTGAAAAAAAAAGAATAATAAGAAGATGAATCCTCAAAGAATTGAGAGATGGTAGAATGGGAATTTTATTTTGAGAAATTACGATAATTTTATGAAAGAGAGAGAAGGTACCTAATTAATAACATTGACATAATTAATGTAAGGATAGAAATGGATTTGCTTATTTAGTTGGGCAGTAGAATTTTTAAATTACCACATAATCTTTCAATTCTGCTAAAGGCCAGCTTTATTTTGCAACAACTATATGTCTAACAACTTATCTATAAAAAAATTTCTTTTAGTTTTGGTCAGGTTTAGTTTGCAATCCATCTTTCTTTTTCTTTTTCTCGAGTTGCATTTCATCGTTTCCTTGTCTTTTTCAATTTTTTATTTTATTTTTTGAATAGGTGATTTTGGTTATAAATAAAATATTTTATTCTAGAGACGATGAGAGTAAAATTTTATAATTGTTCAGACATAATCTTATAATTTTTCAGATAACTATTAAGTAGTAGCAATAAACTTTTGCTTTTCTTTCCTTTTGACTAATAGCTATTAGAAGTAAAACTTATACATTCAGAAGCTGAAGAAAAATTTTGGACAAAAAATGGCATAAAGAAATTATAGTTATTATAAAATTTAATACTTGATGACCACTGGTACATAAAAGTACAGAGTACATGCAAGTATTACATAATATATAGTATACATATTACACTTGAAGACTTATTTGGAAAAATTTGATTGAGAATGTTTATGAGAGATATCTTAAAAATAAAAAGAGAAGTTGGGCGGGTTGGGCTATGACCCATAGTTTAGCCCATCTTGACCCAACCCATCTTAGCCCAAGTAAACTTTGGGCTGGGTTGGGCAATGACCCGCCCAAACTCAGCACAAACCGTCCATTTGCCACCCCTACCTCCAGCTGCCCTCACCCATGTCTTAGTTCCATCATATATGTCCTTAATCACCCTAATGTACGCTACAAGCATACCTTTAGCCTCCAAACACCTCCATAGTACTTCTCTCGGGACTTTGTCGTATGCTTTCTCTAGATCAATGAACTCCATATGCAAGTCCTTCTTCATTGTCCTATATTGCTCTACCAATCTTCTCACCAGATGAATTGCTTCTGTAGTCGAACGACCCGGCATGAAATCGAACCGGTTCTCTGAAATAGACACACTTCTCCTCACCCTCCCTTCTACCACCCTCTTCCAAACTTTCATCGTATGGCTTAGCAACTTGATACCCCTATAGTTGTTGCAATTCTGGATATCACCCTTGTTCTTATACAACGGAACCATTGTACTCCACCTCCACTCTTCAAGCATCTTTTTCGTCCTAATAATAACGTTAAACAACCTAGAGAGCCATTCCAAGCCTGCCTTACCCGCACTCTTCCAGAATTCTATAGGGATTTTGTCTGGCCCGGTCGCTCTACCCCTGCTCATCCTTTGCATTACCCTCTCGACCTCCCCTACTCTAATGCGTCTACAGTACCCAAAATCCCGATGACTTCCGGAGTGCTCCAAATCACCCAACACAATGTTTTTATCCTCTACTTCATTCAAAAGTTTATGGAAGTATGGTTGCCATCTCCGCCTAATCTGTGCCTCATCCATCAAAACTCCACCCTCCTCGTCTTTTATACACCTCACTTGATCCAGGTCACGAGCCTTTTTTTCTCTCACTTTGGCCAGCATGTACAGCTTCCTATCCCCGCCTTTCTCCCCAAGCTCTTCAATCTTCATACAGACGTTCAAACGCTGTGGTTTTAGCCGCAGTAACTGCTAACTTCGCCTCCTTAGCTTCCTTGTACCACTCCATATTGGCTCTCTTCTTCGCCTCATCTATGCTTTCTGTTAGCTTCACATATGCCGCCTTCTTGGCTTCCATTTTTTCTTGGACCTATTCATTCCACCACCAGTCCCCCCTGCGGCCACTAGAGAAACCCTTTGAGACCTCTAACACCTCTCTCGCAACTTCTCTAATACAACTCGCTGTCATAGTCCACATGCACATCGCTTCCCCACTACTCCTCCGAGCCCCCATAGCCAGTAGCTTCTCCCCCAAGTCCTAAGCTTTGTCCTTAGTCAAGGCACTCCACCTGATCCTAGGTAGACCTTACAGTACCCTGTTTTTCCTTGTCCGCATGATCGCCAAATCCATAACCAATAGCCTATGTTGCGTCGTGAGATTCTCACTTGGGATGACCTTGCAATCCGTGCATAAACCTCTATCACACCTCCTAAGTAGGATGTAATCAATTTGGGTTTTGGCCACCATACTTTGGAAGGTGACCAGGTGCTCCTCCTTCTTGGGAAAACACGAGTTAGCAATCACCAAATCAAATGCAAGCACACTCCCAAACTGAAGTTCCTCCTACGTTTCTGTCTCCAAAACCAAAGCCGCCATGTAGCCCTTCGTAACCCCTAGACGACGTCCCAATGTGGCCATTAAAATCTCCTCCTATGATACGCGTCTCGGTGTGCGGAGTTCCCCGCACCAACCCATCCAAGTCCTCCTAAAAACGCCTTTTAACCTCCTCGTCCAAACCCACTTGAGGCGCGTAATCACTAATAATGTTCAAAATAAGCCCTCCCACAACTATTTTAATAGCCATCAGCCTGTCGTTCACCCTCCTAACCTTTACCACTAGCTCTCTATGTTTCCTATCATCTAGTATGCCTAACCCATTCCCCCCGTGAGTACCACAACTTAAATCCGTCTGCCTCCCGAACCCTAGTCCCTACCCATCTAGTTTCCTGGACACAAGCTATGTTGACCTTCCTTTTCCGGAGAATCCTCGCTAACTCTATAGACGTCCCCGTCAAAGTCCCAATGTTCCAGGATCCAATTCTCAACCTAGAGGTTCCCTTGCCCCGTTACTACCCTTGCCCCCACCCCCTGCCCCACTCGAGGACATGACCTTACTCTACCATTATTCACCACAGCCACTATAGCCCAAGTTACAAGTCTCTAATTACTACAATACTCCTAATTTAAATAAAACACGATTTATAGAAGTACCTAAATAAAGGGATACAACCAAAAATGGGAAATAAAGTCAATGCAATTTAATCCAGAATACTCAGTAGAAATGATTAATAACAGAATAAAAATCCTACTCAGTCTCAACAAGAAGAACACGAATGGTAAAATAACTAAGCAAGAATATAACCACAAGAAGACTCCCCAAAAAAATCACTAAACAACAGAAGAATTAACACAACAGATGAATAACAGTGTTGACCAATATCCAAAACTAGAACAGAACAGGAAAAAAGACGATAGAACCTGGTTGGCTGGAGGCTGGCCGAAGGCACTGTAACCCGTCGATCTTGCCTTGACAGTCTATGCGCGGTNGGGGGGGGGGGGAGACAGGAGGAGAGAAACCCGTATCTGTGGTCACCGGCGTTGATGGAGAGATACGTCGGTCTTGGTTCTTCGCTAATGGTAAGTTAAGAGAGAGAGAGTGTGAAAGGCAGTGATTCTAATTGAACATAGTGGCTTAACAAATTTAACTGAAAATGTGAAGGTTACTCTCATAAAATTGGCCCTATCAAACATGCAACGTATAAACATAATTTATGTGTCTCTCATCCTATCGTCAATTATTAAGAAGCTAGGAAAAACTGTTGGATAACTTTATGAGATGGCGGCATGGAGCAAACATGAACGAGAAGTATGCTTGATAGGATGGAGATGGTGATGCTAGTATGCTACCAATAGGAGAATGAGGTTTCCATGAATGCAAATTCTATAATCAATCAAGCCGTTTTGAGAAAGTGATTAGACAGATTCACAAATGAAATAAGTATGTACCATGTAAGAGGTGATGTGTACAACCAGTGGCGGACCCAGGATTTTTTGCAAGCGGGTTCAATCTTAGAAGTACATAACTTTAGTCGTAAAATAATAGTTGTCAAGTGGGTTTAAATAAAATATTTATACAAAATTTACGCAGGTTTAATCCTAATTTATACATATACACAGTATTATTTTTTGATGAAGCGGGTTCAGTTGAACCCGCTTGCCACCACGTGCGTCCGCCACTGTGTACAACATATGGATACCATGAGCATTATTGGCTTTAGGAAGAAGTTACAACCTTATATACTATAAGCAACAACGATAACAATAACCCCTAATCTTAAACAAATTGAGTAGCTATATGAATCTTTGCTAACCATATTTTTCCATTTAAATTCATCTCAAGCCAACCTTATACAAAATAAAAAAGTTATTTATATTTTCTAGTGTCATTAAAATCTCCGATAGGACTAAATGACTCCTAGAAAGTATAGGATTTAAAGTACACGTATTGCAACAACAACAACAACCCTAGTGTATTCCTATAAGTGGGGAAAAGGTACACGTATTAACATGAGTAAATCAATATTCCCAATTAATTTGTATTGCCTATATAGATCTTTTTCTTTTATTGTACCTTATTTTACACAAAGTTTGCAACTCTGCATGGCTTCCAAGAAATCATCGGTCTTTTCGATACAACTTTCTTCCATGTGATTTTAGGTCTATCTCATCCTCTCAGTGTTGTGAACAGCGTGAAGCGAGGAAAACGACAAACCCATTTTCGCTTAAAGCGTGAAGCAAGAAGCGAAGCGCTCGCTTTTTTGAAGTGAAGCGGAATTTTAAAAAAAATATTAAAATAAATACTGAAGGAAAAGAAGAACCGAAGGAAATTGGCAGTAAGTAAGAAAAAAATTGGTCAGCATTTCGCTGCAATTTAAGACTGAAAGAGTGAAAGAAAAAGAAGAAGAAGAAGAAGAAGAAGAAGAAGAAGAGAATGAGAAAATGAAGAACTGAAGGAAAAAGAAAGTTGGCAGCATTTCGCTGCTATTTTGAGACGAAAGAAGAAGAAGAAGAAGAAGAACTTGATGAATTTGAACTTGAAAAGTGCAGAAAATGGGATCTCTAGTCGCCTGTTTTTCTCTGCTGCTCGATAATGTTTTGAAAAAAGAGCTTTTTTATTTTTAACGTTGGCAACCACTTAATATACCAAAGTGCTCGCTTCTGTCGCTACTGTCGCTTCTCGCTTTTTTGGCAGAAGCGCACGCTTTATATCACCTGCTATGCTTCACAACACAGAAACGACAAACTGCACTTTGCTTTTCACAACACTGCGTCCTCTCTTGAGAAATCACCGTATGAGCTTGTTCACATTGTCGTCCTAAGCCCGAATAAAGGAGAATGATTGTGTAGGGTTGACAACCAACCATCATAAAACTAGCCAATTCTTGATATGGTATAAGCGTGTGGAAGATATTCATGAGCGGAAAGGAAAATAGTTTTTAAGATTCATTAGATTCACAATTTAGAGTCACAGTGGAAAATAGGAAATAAGATTCTTTTGTGGCTTAATACATGTTGTAGAGACCAAGAAATTGTAGGTCTTTCGGGACAACTTCCCTACATATGATTTTAAATATACCTCGTTCCCTCTCGATAAATTGCCGTGTGAGCTTGCTCACATTGTTGTCCTAAACCCGGATAAAGGAGGAAGGTTAGTGGTAGGGCAGCAACCAACCGTCATAAAAGTAGCCAATTCTTGATTTGGTGCAAGCGTGTGGAAGAAATTCATGAGGGGAAAGGAAAACTGTTTTTAAACATTCATTAGATTCACAAAAGAGAATCACAGTGGAAAATAGGAAATAAGATTCTTGTGGCTAAATACATGGTGTAGAGGCCAAATGTTCTTGAATTCCGTAGCGCATTCACTGTAACTATGGTCAAGGACGCCAAAGTAGCCGAAATAATTAGAAAAAAACGGGAATGAGTTCCTTGAAAATCTGTCTTTTAGAAGGGCTGTTCAGGATTGAGAAAGGGATGAAGTGGAAGGTTTAGTTTAGAATATACATAGATATAGCATATACAATTAGGGGGGGATGATGTGATAACATGAGAGGGACAGGGACTAAATTTTTTCTGGGTAAACATGCTACAATCGCTTGATCAATGGAGGTGATTTCAAGCACATGGAAGTTAATATGGAAACTAGAGCACTAATAGTGCTCTTTGCTAGTGTGCATTGTGGGTCACAATCCTACCTTGAGGAAAAGAAAACAAGTGGTCGTAAATTGGTCTTGCATGTATAAGATGCAGCAACTTTTTATTACATTACGAAGTATATATTGCAACTTTGGAACAAATTGTGGCCTTAAGATATTCAATATTTGGTTTGGTTATCTTCCAAGAAAGCCATGACAAACTTGGAGGATGGAAGCAAGGAAAAAGGTGCTGTGAAAGACAGTTCCTATTTGCTTGTTTTGGACAATTTGGTGAGTAAAAAGGTGCTGTGAAAGACAGTTCCTATTTGCTTGTTTTGGACAATTTGGTGAGTAAAAAGGTGCTGTGAAAGACAGTTCCTATTTGCTTGTTTTGGACAATTTGGTGAGTAAAAAGGTGCTGTGAAAGACAGTTCCTATTTGCTTGTTTTGGACAATTTGGTGAGTAAAGAATCATAGAAGTTTTAAAGAAATACTGAAATTTATAAGGGAAGTACTAATTATGTTGTATTTTGATGGAATGAAAACATTCATTCCTGTATAGATGGCCGGATGGAATTTTTGGGAGCTTAATAGCATACACACATGTAAAGATGACACAGACTTGGGTAAGATATCCAATAAAATTTTTGAATTATATAAAAGAAATTCTGTTTCAGTTGCTTGTGTGTCTGGATCCTTTACTCTAGTTGATTGCCAGCTTTATTTTATTTTGCCTCTCCTCCCAAATTCTTGTGTTAAGTGGTGCAGTATGAAGTGAAACATGTTGTATTGGCAAACACATGAGTTTTAACTTTTTAATCCTGGTTTCCAAATATTCACTTTAAATGCAGGCTTCAATTGTGGCGAGGCTGCCAACTTCGGTACTCCACAGTGGCTTACAGTAGCCAAAGAAGCTGCTGTTCGTCGAGCTGCCATGAACTATCTGCCGATGCTATCTCATCAGCAGTTGCTTTATCTGTTGACAATGTCTTTTGTTTCAAGGTCTGCTCATCTGCTCTTGTTGCATTTGTGGATCAGCCCAACATACTAGGAGACGAGAATTATACGTTTCTTTTGTGTTCTCGGATTGAAAATTTATAGGCGTCATCTTAATTTGTCTTTTATTGATCTGGATTTTAAGAACCTTTTTCCAGCTGTACAAATCTGGTTTTCCATGTGTACGATACATTACCCACGTCAGATTTGGAATTTTAGACATCTGTTTAAAGTTATGTGGGTAAATGAGGTTAAGGTATACCTTTTTTGTTACTTTAAAAGGTGAAAGTTGCTATTGTTTGCTTCTGTTCCTGGAATGGCGAATATAATGGGCAGTGGAATGGGATAACTTTTGAGAAACTAAGCCGGATAGTTAATGTGTGATACAGGGATATCCCAGCTCGATTGTACTCCACTCTGTTGCTTTTTCCCGTCATTCAGGTTAAAGAATCATGAAAAACCTAAGTCTAGGGGGACATAGGCTCACGAATATTGTATGGTTATGTTTCCTTTGACATTTTGATAAGCTTATAAATGTCTTTTGGTTTCTTTACTTTTGTCTTTCTGGATGACAGTGTGCCAAGGTCCTTGCTACCTGGGGTGCGAACCTCTCGTCTGAGAGATCGTCAGAAGGAAGAAAAGGAGCTTCTGGTAAAGAAAGCCTTCCTGGAAGATATAGAAAAGGAGAATGACCTGGTAAAAGTCTTGCTTCAGAAAAGCTTTTCTGACAATGCAGTGTTGTGGGATGTGGATATACTGCCGTCTTCAGGTAAAGAATATGAACTGCACAAGCATGCTAGTGTGGATGCTTCTAGAGGGAATGATCAGTCTGACAGTATCGATAGTCAGGATCTATTAGACCAGATGAGCTTATACATGGATAATTACAGTGACTTCTATGTGGATGATGATGTGTCATGTGACTTTGAAATCGATTCGGGGACATTACCCTGTATAGCTTGTGGGATTCTTGGTTTTCCATTTATGACTCTGGTGCAACCATCGAAAAAGGCTGCGGAACACCTTTTCCCAGAGGATTTTCAGAATAAACAAGATTCTGGAGCGGTGAAACATGTGGAGTCGGATTGCCATTCAGATCTTAGGGGCATGATTGAGGACTATAATAGAGGTAGGAGACCCTTTATAACTAATTTTCCTGGTGCCGAGTTTGTCTGTTATCATTATTAAATGCCCTGCTTTTATTACTTGTAAAAAGTTCTGCAAATTGATTTGTGAAGCTTCCTGTGTCTGATCAACATGTGAGAAATAATCCGAACTCCTTGAACACAACAGTACTGAGTTCTTCTGATCTTCTTCTTTTTTGGTGCAAAGAATGTATCCCTAATCTTTCTATCATTATTTTCTGTTTCAGCTGAATACTGCTAAAAAGAAACGAGAGAACTTTTACTGATAGAAAAAGAAGAGAACAAAGAAAAGAATTGCTTCAGTTTGTCGCTGCTGTTAGTGGTTGCTAACTAACTACCAATACATTTCTAAGCTGATCAAAGTATCTTAATTGTGCACCATTCAGATGTTTAAAGATCTAATCCTTTAAATTATCGAGTCTGAAGATGATGTAATGAGTTTCCTTTGAGTTTGTTTACGAACTCCAGCCGTTGATTTATAACTTTCATTTCTGCCTGGAGTAATAAGATACACGTATCTTCATATGCTGGCCCACTCATTGGGTTAGGGTACGCTCTGGGAATATTAGTTCACCTTTAGCGGCATGGCCAATCAGCAGATGTTCTATCATTTTTCACTCCTCTTTTTAAGTCACCTTTAATAGGTTAGTCTTAGTTGAGCTGGTTCCAATGAATAGACAGCTGTATCACTGGATGGAAGTAGTTGTTTTCACATTTTTTTAAGTTAAAGCATTTCATGGTGACAAGTGTACAGTTTGCTGCTCTGTGCCTAAAGGTATATATCTGGACACCTGGTATAATGTAAGAGAAAGTTTAACATCATTTGACCAGATTGTTACCCGCTATAATTTATCAAGTTAATTGTCCGTCAACCAACTGGTTGACCATGCTCTGTGCCTAAAGGTATATAACTGTGCTGAAGTGTGTGCCTAGCTCAAGGTCCATTTTATTTTGGTATCATAGCCAGATCCATCTGTATTCTTGGTTTACCCAGTACTGGCCCCCATATTATGTTATCCCACATCGGTTGAGAGAAGAGACTATTGTTTTCTTATATGGTCTTGGGTAATATTCACCTGATGAGCTGGTTTTTGGGGTTTGTTTAGGCCCAAGGTCCATCTTATTTAACAATCTGGGCACTTGGTATGATGTAACACCAAAGTTTAACATTATTTGACCAGGTTGTTGCACACTACGATCTATCTAGTTAATTCTCACTTAACTAACTATTTTGGGAGCATTCACGTATTGCAAATTTGTCAGAATGACTTGCTTGTGGAATACTGAATTTCCTCTTCATGCAGTTGACAGAATGGAAAGAAATGGGGGGCATTACCTAAACCATGATGAAGTATCTTTGTCTTCCCAGCCAAGTGAATCTGCAGTTACTCCACATGAGGGTCAAACATCACAGTCTCATAATCCATCACATACAGATAATGCAGCTCTGACTTCAAAAATTGAGCTTCAGAAGGAATGGGATTTTTGTACAAGTTCTGTGAGACCACGGATATTTTGCCTTGAGCATGCAATTCAGACTGAAGAACTTCTGCATACTAAAGGTGGAGCAAATGTTCTTGTGATCTGCCATTCAGGTAACGTTTCTCATGTACACCATCATTTGAATTGTCTAATTGATGACAATACCCAAAAAAAAGGCTACTAAAGTGTATCTGTTTTCATTTTTTTTGCTAGTTCTTGGCGTATTAAAATGTTTGTTGCAACTTTTGATTTCATGTAGACTTTCAGAAAATCAGATCACATGCCACAATTGTTGCAGAGGAAATTGGCACGTCATTCAAATATAATGAGATTTCGCTGGCTAATGCATCTCAAGGACATCTTTCGTTGATTGATCTTGCAATCGTGGATGAAGAACAAGACAAATGTACAGAAGATTGGACATTGAAATTAAATATCAATTTAAGGCACTGTGTGAAGGTGCAAAAGAATTGTCCACTTAAGAAGTTAAAACATGCATTGACTTTGGGTGGATTGTTCTCTGATTCAACTCTTAGTTCAGAATCCTCGAGTCTCAAGTGGCAGTCCAGAAAAGTACGCTCAAAGAGGAAGTCTAATAATTCAACAGAAAGTCCAGCATTCGCAAATGTTCAAATAGAGAAGGTACTTGATTCAGGATCTATAGTGGGCAGGCAGAATACCAGAAAGGGGAATATAACCATCCAGTATTCCAGGAAAAAATACAAGTCTAAGGCTTGTAGTTGTGCGGAGGTCACTAGGGCTTTTGTGGATCCTTTTAATGGTTTGACGGAGGAAGTTTTGCTTACAGATGCAAAAACATTTGGAAGTAGTACTCTCATCAGGGATGAAAATGCAGGCACGGCTTCTTCAGGGGAAAGGTTTTTTGCTGCTCCTGAGGGGAAACCAGGACTGCATCATGAACATGAGATGCTTTTGGTAAATAGAGATCAAAATGGAAATCTCCTTGTATCACAAGAAGCAGATTTACTTGTCACCTCTTCTATAATGGTGGAATTCAATGAGGCCCAGGCTGAAATTTGTACTACTGAGAAGTTTTCAATGGAGGAAAAAACTTGTCATACAAATTCAAACAATCGCCATGCAGAGCATAAGACCACGGCTCCAGAGATTAGTGGAGACACTGAGGTAGCTCATGTGAATACTCCTGCATGTACAACCATACCTGTGGTTCGGAGTACTGCAAATAATGAAAATTTGAGGGAGGATCAGGATATGATAGAATCTGGCATCAGAAATAAGTCTGCTCATCCGACGGAAGCAGATTTTGAAATAGATCATCATGGAGAGGCTGATAAAGCTATTATGACCAGATCTCCCGTGCCTGTCAACTCCTCAGGATCTTGCACTGATGGTCCTTCAAGAAGTTGTGATGAGCAGATTGAGGATCAATCTCCAGAACAATCTGGCTCAGGTAGCGAGGCATCTGATAATGAGATTTCGGACAACTCTGTGGAGCAAAAAATCCAAATTGATAATGCAGATCAAGGTATAGCTGTCTCTGACCATGTCACACCAGTAGAAGAAGCTTCCGCCTCAGCAGGAAGTCTCAAAGTGACGAGAGAGACATCGAGTCCTAAACACTCACAGAGTGGTGATAATATCTCTGAGAGGCATAAGAAAGAGTCAAATGATGATACTTCTCCAATAGTGTCTAGGCCAATCGCAAAAAGTGGTGGCAAAAGAAGGCGTGAGCTAGAACTCCTAACATATGATGGATGTAGCATTGGTGGCTTTGTTAAAAGCCCATGTGAAGGTTTAAGGCCACGGGCTAGGAAGAATGTTCTTGGGAGCAGAGTTGATACTAAGGAACCTCTTGAGGATAAACCAATGGGGAAGAAGGTGAAGACGTCTTTACCTAGTTCCATCACTCACAAGGATAAGAAAGAACAGAGGAAGGGGACTCACAGGTGTGACCTGGAAGGCTGCCGGATGAGTTTCCAAACAAAGGTAGAGCTGCAACTGCACAAACGTAATCGTTGCCCCATTGAAGGATGTGGGAAGAAATTTACATCCCACAAATATGCTCTGGTTCATCAACGCGTTCATGAAAATGATAGGCCCCTCAGATGTCCATGGAAAGGCTGCACCATGACATTCAAGTGGGCCTGGGCAAGGACTGAACATTTGCGTGTGCATACTGGTGAGCGGCCATATAAGTGCAAGGTTGAGGGTTGTGGACTCACCTTCAGGTTTGTATCAGATTATAGTCGGCATAGACGGAAAACTGGTCATTATGTAGAAGCGGCCAACTGATGTTAGTTACTATAATCAGGTTGGTTGTGTAATATACCAAATAACTCGATTGCTAGAGTGCGGATTCTTGGGTTGAAAGACTATCTTAAGAATCATGTAAACTAATGCGCTCTTGTCATTTTAGCATGGAGCATGGGTAGGAGTAGTGTTCTTCGTTTGTAGAGTGCCTGTTTTCAGGATTAATCTTCAATTTTAAATATAAAATTGCATGTCATTCTTTCAAATTTCGTAAGAGAGGTCTAAGGGGACAAGGCCCTTCTCATGGCACTTTGATAATGCTGGACAGTCAATAATGACCATATAGAATTCAACAAAATGAAATCTGCTGCTTGTGCTGGATGGTCTGATTTTCCATCATGTGAATTTGTGGAGAAATTATGCTTAGTGTGAACTTGTCTGAATATTGATTGTCGTTTCTTAAAGGGATCATCATAAGTTTGACATGCTTTCTAACTTGTTTCTTTTCTGGTTTTCAAACATATAGAACTCTTAACAACGTTACACAATTCTGAAAATGTGGAATATAATATACTTATACGAGGAACTATCAATATGCCTTTCACCTTTACACGTGAATTTCTTTTCTGTAATAATATTTCCGAAGCGAACCAANATATATATATATATATTCAGAAAGTATTAGATTTAGTTATAAATTACACATTAAATATACCAAATATCAGCATTATCGCCTAATATAAGACCTTTGATAAATAAAATCAGAAGGCATACTCTCCGACCAAACTTTATCTTCGTTCTTCTAGCCATCGGTTAAATTTTAATTTGGAATTCGCTTGCTCCAATAAGCGTTGCTGGAAGCAGAATTCTGTGATCAACTTTATCTTCTCTATATTCTTCAGCCATAACAAAATCAATTGCTGCTCTATGTAATTGTATTCTCAAGGTTGATTGCTTTATTCTGAAATATTTATGCCTCGCTTTTTCTATTTTAATGTACATGCTATGCACTAAATTTTCAGTTTTATCATATACACATATAGGTAATATTTATAATACATAAATGTTAGATTTCAAATCTTATCGATGATTATGGAAGGTTGAATTGCACAATGAGTTTTTTTTTATTTACTGAATGAAAATAAAAATTTAAGGAAAAGCTCCAAATATGCCCACGTGCAATTCAAAAGTACTCAAATCTCTTATTTTTCAATAAGATCATATAGCTTGTTATCTTCCTTGGATGACCATGATCCTTTCTTTACATAGGGTTATCATAACAAAGAGCTCTTCTTTCTCTCCCAATTTAATTAAATGAAACTCAAATAAAGGCAACTTAAATTCAATAAAAGAATATATATAGGATTCGGGAATAAATTATAACATGCCTCAAATAAAGAGGAAGTGTAAAAGGATTTGGCACATTCATCAAAATGATAGACTTTGTTGTCGTGTCCCTTTAATTTCCTGAAACAATCAAGATGCAATAAAAATATACTATCACAATTTGTAGGAAATATTAATTGTAGCCAATAATATAAACAACAAACTAAATGTATATAATAGAATGATGACGCGTAGAACTGTTGGTAAATATATGTTTGATTTTATCTTTCTTAATATATATAGGATCGTATGTCATATGTCAACGTCTTTCATCATATATTCATATTCTAAAGCTATTTATGTTACAAAAGATTTTACTATAAAATTTTTCGATACTCCGCAAAGTTATTATGTAATCTTCTTTCACATGAATAAGTTTGGGATACATTGGAAAATAAGATTGTTGTGGCAGACGCTCTCAGCCGTAAGTCAATGGGAAGCTTAATACATATTGAGGCAGGTGGACAAGGGTTGACCAAAGAGCTTCACCAGCTGGCCAATATGAGAATCAGATTGTTGGACTCTGATGACGGAGGTGTTACTGTACAGAATACAGCAGAATCATCTTTGGTAGCCGAGGTAAAAGCACGGCAATATGAAGATCCTACCTTAGTAAGATTGAGAGAGGGAATTCAGCAGTGTAAGATTACAGCTTTCAAGATCGGAGGAGATGGGACACTGAGATACCAGGGCCGATTATGTGTACCTAGTGTGGCAGGGTTGCGAGAGAAGATTATGATTGAGATTCACCAGTCCCGATATTCTATCCATCCTGGCTCGACAAAGATGTATCATGACGTTAAGGAGCAGTATTGGTGGGATAACATGAAGAGATTATATTGTAGCATATCCAGCTAAGATAAAAAATAATATTCATGCTTTCATCTTTTGTCATTTTTACAGTTTACTAACTGTCTTATTTACATGAACTTAAAAACCATATACAAATGTAATATGTACCTTTTTTAATCATGTGCCCTTTTTTCTGAGGTTCTTTTATTAGTAAAAAGAACCATACAGAAATTTCTGCCCTTGCAATTAAATTGACAGCAACTATTTCTTTACCTTGTTAAAAAAAATCATGTTTTCCACAGCTAATTACCTTGTTACCTATTAATATTTGCCTGCATTAACTGTGATATTTGTCAATATCAACTATGTTCAATTATATATCAGAACTGAAGCGCAAAAAAGGTCCTTTGGATGCCAAATTTGATATTATATATATAGAGGTCCTAATAGTTTTGTGAATTTTTTTGTGATTATTGATCCTCTTTTTGTTCTTTATCTTGTCGTCAAACAATTAACTATTAGATTCCCTTATATTGCTCAAGTGCCATAAGTCAGATTACTTTGGTATAATTCCTTATTGGCGGAAGAATCACAATTGAAATTCTCATAAGTCGTCTAAATAATATCTATATCAAACAGGCGTTAGTATGCACATATTGTATAAACCTGACCAAATATCTCTTTGCCAGCACCAAGAAAACTCCAATAGTAGCGATTTGTAATCTCCAATTTATTATTCTCGGCTAAACCAAAAGGCAATAGAGAAATCAAAGCCCAAAAAAATTCAAAGTCAATTAATCTCTAAATCATCTCTAAATTATAACAATTTGGCAGAAATATTTAACTTCAACGAAAAATTATATAAGAAGATTTAGAATCCGATATATGGGAAACAAAAGAGGACTTGCAAAATGTTTTCGCCAAGATAGATTTCGCCAAGGATTTAGTCAGGAGAACGAAATAGTAACAGCGCCGAAAATCTGATGATCAAGTAGAAAAGCGAAAAACTGAGAAGAAATGACAGTTTGGTAAAATAGTAGCAGAAGAGCAACGTTTCGGCTCTCTTCTAAATAGAGTCTAAATTTGCGTCTATTCGTAAGTTTTTTTAATTAATAAATAGGTATTTAACTACGTAAAAAGTGCAATTTAACTATTAGGGTATTTAGATAAATTAGAAGGACATTCATGTAACTTAACTTTTAAATTATGCGCTTTCTACTTTTATAATAACTAGTTCCTCGTCACGTGCATTACACGTGTATGCCACGTTATTTAGTACAATTTTGTTTTTATTATAAGATAATATAAGATAGATTCTAAAAAAATTATAAGTATTCAAAGCATATGTGTGAGGTATTATACAAAATTTGAGAAAAATATGTGAGATATATTTAAAAAATAGTATGGCTAAATAACCAACCTTTAAGTTCAAAGAAGAAATGCGGAAAAGAATCGAACACCAAAAGGTCTTTGTGGTACCAACATGTCTCAAGATTAGGTGTCTCAAGTTATCCAATTGATACTGGAGTCCTCATTTACATTAGACCTATTTAATTTAGGTAGAGTTGCAACGTTGAAATATTTGAATCACGATCTTCGATCAATTGCCTATCTTTATAATGTATGTGACCTTATTTGTCACGACCCAAAACCCATAATAGGTCGTGATGGCATCTAACGCCGCCGTTAAGAAAGCCACAAGTGAAACTACAATTTAATTACTCCTTTTTTAATATTTAAAATAAAAATTTTCCCTTTAAAAGAACAAAATAAGTAAGACTTCATGCAACTATACATCCTCATTTCTCAAAAAAATGCCAGTGTGATAAATACATCCACTGCAATGATAGTAATAATAAGTACAACAATACATAAATGCTAAAAGTCCCCAAAATCCGGTGCCATAAGTGCATGAACAATCTAGAGAATATACAAAGCTAATACATCTACTGTCTGAAAGAAAATAGACAGAAATAATAAACAAGGTAGAGGGAGACTCTGGTGCTGCGGATCGGAGCAAGTCAAGCAGCTCACCCCTAAGTCTCCGTAGATGATCGGCTACGCGCCCGCGTGACCACTGGTAGTACCTATCTCAGTACCTGCATATTCAGTGCAGAAGTGTAGCGTGAGTACGGAGAAAAATACGTACCCAATAAGTATCTAGTCTAATCTCGAAGAAGTAGTGACCAGGGGTCGACTTGACACTTACTAGAGGTCAAATAATAATAGAAATACATAAAGTAAACATGGTGAGTATACCACATGTAGTAACAAAGCAAAATAAAAGTAACTACAATAATTCCACATCCGAGTCTATATCAAATCACTAAACATGTCATAAATGGCCTTGAAGGCGCTAACTCAATCATTACCAAACCAAATCCAGTTCCAATTATTAAGCACGAAGCTGCCGAGGTGAAAGACCCGATCTCTTAGGAATAGTAGTATTTAGTACTGCCGAGGCGAACGACCCGATCCCATAAAAATAGTGTTACCAACCTGCCGCGGTGAACGACCCGATCCCATAAGAGTAATTATTTTACTGTCGAGGCAAACAACCCGATCCCATAAGAGTAGAAAAATTTACCTCGCTCGCAGAAACACGTGCGAGACGAGAAGTCACAGATCTATAGTTTATCAAATAATTTCCTAATTTTTCCAAATAAGAGGCTAAGTCAGTATCTTTAATTAAAATCCTCAATCTTAGTCCTAATCTAGATAATTAATACACAGGATAGGCATAAAATAACACAATTAAAGGCATGATGTGAATCTAAGTCTACCCGGACATATCATGAATATAACTACGTACGGACTCTCGTCAGCTTGTGTGCAATAACCCGACCGGCCGTTTTGAGCCCTAGCGCGTCGTTCGGCAGTTTGAGGCCATGAGCAGCTTCACTTCAGGTATTATGACTTATACGCGTGGTCAGGATTGAATTTCGGAAAGTTCGGAGTTGAATTGGAGAGAAAAGTCTCATTTCGAAAGCTTTAAGTTGGAAGAATTGACTAAGATTGGATTTTAGAGTAAACGACCTCAGAATCGGGGTTTGAAGGTTCCAACAAATTTGTATGATGATTTTGGACTTGGGTGTATATTCGGATCGGGTTTTGGATGTCCCAGGAGCATTTCGATAACTAATTGTGGGGGCTACGTACGTACGGGGTGACGAGAGTCCGTACGTAGCTACTATTATGCTATT